AAGCGAGACCCTCTCTTCTGCTGGCCAGATTAGCTTCTACTCTCTGAGAATAATTTCATAATAATAATTTCATCTGTTGATCACATTATGTCTAAAAATGTGAAGAGTCCACCGCTCTCATTGTCACTATCTAGAGTACCTTGGGACAAAGGTTCCAAAGAAATGATTCACATTCTGCCCCCTAGTTGAAGGAGTTTTTGTTGAATTTTGTTGAAAAGCAGTGTCTCAAACAAAGACCAACACCAAAAATGCTTTGTACTGAGAGCACTTGCACCCAGCAATCAACACCAGAGCATATTCTTCATCTCATCCTAAATAATGGGATCCAGGTAGGTGAGTTTCCTGGTGGAAAAGGATAGCAGACATCTTTGCACAAGACAACTCACATGTGTTGGAAGAAGAGGGATATGGTGTATTAGTGATTATCTCCAGCTCTTGAGGCTGTTCACTTTTACGTTGCGTTGCAGGAATAAAGGTTACAGTCAATGCCACCTTCCACCACTTCAGATCATCTCTCTATGTCTCACAAGGCTGTCGCACCAGCACCTGTGAAGGTGTAGAGCTCATCAAGCAAATTTTTGTGAGTATTTGGTTTCTCTAGGTTAATTTCCTAAAAAGAAAAGACTTTCTTTCGTATATGTTTGTGCACGTGCATGTAAGTACGCATGCATCTGTGGTTCTATGTCTGTCTTTCTATATTAATTTTTGAGCCTATTGTTCAATTCCAAACTAACTTGAGAGATAGGTGAAATTATTAAAGACAATCCCATGGGTTTTGTGAAGACAAGCAGTCAAAGACAGAGACCTTACTAATGAGGCTGTCATTTGTTAGTAGTGCCAGCTGAAGCAGCCACCTGCTTCAAGCTACTTTTTGCATCTTCAGATTATCCCTTCTGTCATATCTGCACAGATCTTTGTGGGGCCACATAATCAAAGTAATCAAATAATAATAAAAACAAATAAACAGCAACAACAAAATCCAACAAACTACAACAACAAACTACCCAAATACTCCAACAGCCCAAGTGGAACAGAGAATGTCCATTTCCTGCTGGTTCAGTTCCCTGATCCATCGGCTTACAGAAATACATGTGCCAGCACAAAGGAGGGAGCAGTGTGAGCTGGGAACGGGCAGGCAGAGGGCCTGGCACTGATAACAAAGCATAACATGTGACTGTGCCCAGGGGGCAAAGATGAACTGCATGCTTGTTTCTCACTGGAAATGAGATATGTTGTATGGGAGAAAATGTGTGAATCTCCAAATGTTGGAAAAAGTTTCAGTTAGAACTGGTGCCTTGCAAGAGGTTCAAGAAGCTGCGTTGCAGTGGACTTTCTCATGTCTAATCACTGTCACCTCACAGTGAGGCTTTGTCAATCAACTGTGAATTCTCACATCTAACAATTTATGGTTGCACGCTGTAGTCTTTGTTAAGAAGTCCCTCATGGCACACAAAACTGCTTTGGTCTGTGCTTTTCATGTATGCTGTTGCAACATTTTAATCCTAATCTGCACTCTCCCTCTCTCTTCCCCAGTGAGGTCATACTCTGCCTTTTTGTAACTCCCTGTGATTCCTCCCTCCTTCACTCCAGTTTTATTTAAATCTTTCTATGTCTCCTTTTGTATTCTGTCTTTGCTTTTGCTGAGTAAATTCCGGGACTCCTTTTCAAATCTTAAAATTCTCTTTAATTTCCCATCCTTCTCACCATGCCACCACACTGTCCCTGCTACAGACCCTCTCTGATCTCTTGCAGGATAATGGCACTCTTGGCTGTGCTGTCATAGGACCTGCTTGCACTTACGCTACCTACCAGATGGTCTCGTAAGTACCACCCTCTCCATGTGATATTATGTTGTTAAAGATAGCAAGTGTTGAACAAAGTTGTTTTGAGCGCAGCAAACCAGCAGAGACATTGGGTTTTGGGATACATCAGGCACTTTGATGTCAACAGTCAAGGCAGTAAGGCTATTGTGCATAGCCACTCAAGTTTGGAAGGGAAAAGAAAATCTCCTCCAAGAGCCTACTGATGCAGTTTCATTACTATTAGCTAAGTGTTTCCAATTGCTCATGATGGACTGATATTGGGCTCAGGAGACATGACTTATCAACAACCACAGAATGAAAGGGGGATGATAATTTAAGGCACTAGACACTGAAGAACTGCAAAAGTGAGGGTCCTTCTAAGTGGGCTTTCAGTTACTGAGAGGAGCCTGAGTTCGATGTGGCATGAGAAAATAAAAACCCCAGTTATCTTCAGTAAGGAGTGTTTAGATAGGGAACAGACAATTTCATCCTAACTCTTCTGCTTGTGAAAACATTTCTGAACAATGAGTCTCTCTACTATAGTATTATACATAAATCTGTGCAATTCTGTACTGCATTATACATTAATGTGTTAATTCTCAGACATTAGGAAAACGTGAGCTAAATCTGTGTTGCTTTAGCATAGCTGATTAAAAAAAAACACATCAGTCGTGAATACAAATCAATACCGTTACCCATGTAAATCATTCTGCCTGCTTTAAACTTTGGTAGCCTTGTGGTTTCACTAAGACATACAGATAAAATTGGGGTACTTTTTCTTCAAGCTAGTTACTCCAATATTTCCAGTGAAAAAATGTGATTGATTTATAGAAGAATAAAAATAATAAATTCTTATATGTAAGACCATGATAAAATATTGTTCAAAGTGCCTCATTTTATTCACTGTGACTCCTAACTTTCTTTGTCTTTCTGTCTGCTGGATATAGAGCTGCCAAGAATGATGCCAAAGTCTTTTTCTCAGACTCTGGTAAAGTTACAGCAGTATACAGTAAAAAGTATGAGTAGTGGACATTTATGCAAATAATACTAACAGGCAGCTGGATTTGCCCACAGTGCAACAGATCTACAAATCAGAACAAGTGATTCACTTTACAACACCTTAAATCAGAGAGAAGAAGGTCCATTTCATTATGAAAAGCTTTCCTTGACATTACATCATCTATGTCTGTCTCTGTAGTGACAGCTTTAAAACCTGTAGTTTGTGAAGTGGCACTTATCCTGGAAAATAACATTTTGTCATAATAATGCTAACAGTGCTGATGAGAATGTTTTTTTGCGGGTATAATAAGGGAACAAAAATACTTTTAGTCTAGTCTGATAATCTGCAGCATCTAGGGAAATACTTTTATCCAACTTTTAGTTTCAGGACAAAAAATATCACTGCTTTTCAAATCTGCTGCTAGCAGAGGATATCATTATTTGTTCTCTCTGACTGATATTGTTGCTCAGCTCCTGAAATACTATGAAAGATTCTTCTTTTGACTTGTAGGAGTAAATGGCAACAAAACCTTCACCCTCCAGCATGATCACAATACAGAGATAGAATACATACCACACTAAAAATTATATTGGTGGGCAGGAAATCATCCAGCATTCATTGCAGATCAGAGAAAAGACCAAATCCCTTTGTTCATCCAAAACTGACATCACAACATTGTCAAGACTGTTGGGTGTCTTTATATTGAGCATGCAGCTCAATTTGTAAATACATTTTGTGACCAGTCTACAGGTGTGACTACAGTCACCAAAGATACATAAGTTGATAAAAAAAAAAAGAGTTGAAAACCTGTTAGAAGGATGTTGTTTATTGTGTCAGCAGAATGACACAATAAATGGGGAGCTTTCCTTAAAGTAACTTCTATGCCCCCTTTTTGTAATTTGTTTTTCCAACCTGGCCCCTAGAATATGCCATATAGATGCCATCATCTCCTAGCTGTTTGGTAGCTGTTGAAAACAAACACTGCTTACAAACCAGCTCCTGAGACAGACAACAGCATCTTGTCCTTGATGATGACCCAGCAGCAGAAATGGATGGGTATGAGAGTCCCTTGACTCCCACCATAGTCCGTGGGCAGAAATGGTGCTTGATACCCAAAGAAACTGGATGAAGAATATCTATGCTGTGCAGGGAATTGGAGCCAGTGGAAGAAGACACCCAGATCCATTCTCTGCAGTGCCAATACATTGAAATTTGCTTGTGTTCTTTAGGAACCTTCTGTTTCAGGTTGAACTCATGCAGGGTGCAATGAGAGGGAGCTGGGATAGAAATCATGTAGCAGCAGCCTTGGTGCTACAGCAATCCATTCAGACGTGTCTTCTTGTCTCTCCCCTCAGAGTTGACACAATACTGAGCCTGCCTCTGATCTCTGTAGGGAGTTTTGGACTGTCCTGTGACTACAAAGAAAACCTAACCCGTCTTCTGACCCCAGCTAGGAAAGTGAATGACTTCTTCTATTATTTTTGGAATGAAATCCAGCAGCCGTTCAAAACTAGCACTTGGGAATCTGTCTACATTTACAAGAAGAATGAGAACTCGGAGCAATGCCTCTGGTAAGATCTAAATCCAATTCTGTCTCAGCTGTTGTCCTAATAAGCTCCACCTCCATCCTCAGGCATGGTTCCTATAGGCTGTTCTAAGTGCCCTGCATACTGGGAGATGCCTTACTGCTACTATCCCCTGTCTTCTTTCAGCCCCTTTTAGATTCTGAAAGGCCACTCTCAGGTCTCCCTGGAGCCTTCTCTTCTCCAGTGTGAACTGTCAGCCTCAGCCTGTCCTCATAGGGGAAATGTTCCATCTCTTGGATAGCTACTATATTCATAGAAGATAGCTATTATTTATATTTCCAGTTCATATCCTGAGAATGTTACAGAATTTTAAGCAGAATTTACAAATCTATTGGCTTCAGACCTTCTTTATAACTTCTGAAATGTTAAAGCTCCTTTTCTTTAATGCTGAATTAATAATAAAAAAATAAAAAATTCTGTTTCTTCCCATTTGATTGTCATTATTCATCCCAATATGGCTGTAAGATGCACCTCATTCTGCCTTAATGGAAACTGTCATCTTGAATTTTTTCAATTGCCTAATTTTAAAAATCTGTTTTTGCTAACACATGAATTGTTCTACATGGGACAATTGTTTTCCCCACGTATGTATAAAAGCACATGAATACTCACAGTGACAGCAACAGCAAGCTAGGTCTCCAACTACACATATGGTCCTGTAAGTTAATGATTAGCAACTCAGTTCTTGAAAACAGAGGGGAGCAAAAGATATTTTGTAGATTATAGGACAGGGATCTCAGTGTTGCTAAATGAAAAGTTTGAAAGCAAAGAAAATCCTTTTCCTTTTCCCTCTGCATTAACTTTACTTCAAACAGAATGTATTTTCCCAATAGGCTTAGGCTAGAAGATTTAGGAGTTGGCTGTTTTTGCTTAATCTTTTATCTGGCTTTTACTCACTTGGTTGTTTCTTACCATTCTCATTTTTCTCCTTCAATTTTTAAGTGACTCAGTATAACTCTTTTTGCTCCTTCCTTTCCTTCCTTTTCCTCTTAGGGAACCTGTATTTTTTTATCTGAGATCTTTCTGCAGCTCTCATTTACTCCTTTGAATCTTCAGATACTCCTTCTGAGACTCCAAGTGGGGCCTTTTACAGCAGAGCTTCCTGGCTCTGTTTCCCATTAGTCTCACTTACTCTAACTTCCTCACAATCCTGATTTTTTTCTTAACTGTTAATGTCTTATTGCATGATTATATTCTCTAAGCCCATCCTTAGTTTGACCAGGCTCAAATACACCTGGATGACTTTTCAACAGTTCTAATTCTTTGGTGATCCGTATTGATTTCCTATGGCGCAGAAAAAAAATGCTCCATTCTGCTTTTCATATACTGTAGACAGTCTGTCTGGCGTTTTGATTTTTAGGAGAAATTGCACAGTGCACATGTGAAGATTTAACCATTTTTTGACTTTATCTGTGCTCCCTCCCCTCTGCCAGGTACATGAATGCATTAGATGCTGGAGTCACACAATTCTCTGAAAAACTGAAGTTCAAGGACACTGTGAGGACACAAGATCAGTTCAGAAAACTTGTGAAAAATTCTAAACGGAAAAGCAATGGTAAGGAGGGGCTGAGGGTGCACTCTTCTCTGCAGGTAAGTTACTTTTTCATGGAAATCAGACTATTCTCTTAGCTACATTTTAGGACTAGTCTTTCCATAGTGAAGTACAGACATCATTTCACATGGATGCAAATAGAAGATGGCACAAACCTCTCAGATTCCTCTCCCTGTCCCCGTAAAATATGGGGATATCCTTGTTCCAGAAGCCTTCTGGGATGATTTGTCCCATCTAGATATGTTATCCTCCTACGTACTCTGATTTGTGAAAGATTCAGAAATCCAGGAATCACAAGTCCTCCTAATCAAGGCCCTAGATATTACAAGAATGCTTCTTTCTCTACCATTCCCGTGTTTGCAGCTCTGATATATAAATGGTCCTCACTTGTGCCATCAAAGGGCACTTCTTCTGGAAGTGATCCACCTAAACCTGAAAAACAGATGAGTAATACCTCATTTTCTGCAAAGACTAAGCACCTGGCATCAGCAGGCCAAGGGAGCACAAGAGTGATAAGTAAACCACTTAAACTATTGCCTGAACTCCATAAACTCTTATAAACTTTCATATTCTGGAGCCTGGATTGCATCAGAACTGCTGCTGCTTACTTGAGCGAGATAATGGTGGTGCTCTGGTGCAGTCAAACATAGAATAGGCGTTGAGGCACTTTCTACCAGCTGACTTTCCCTTAGATATCTCTATCCCTCAGATATCCTGTGCAGATGGTCCCAGCATAATGCAGGTAATGTGCTTTCGTCCAGCATTGCTACACTGCCTGCCACTCAGGCACCAGGGAGCAAGCAAATGTCCTTTCCTTATCTGTACTTCTCACCTCCATTTTTGCCCAATCTGTAGTGATCATCATGTGTGGCACTCCAGCTGACATCAGCCAAGACCTAGGGACGGAGACAGTGGATAAGGACATTGTTATCATCCTGATAGATCTCTTCAAGTAAAGTATCACCTTTGCTTTTCCTATTTTCTCTGCACTTTGCTGAAAGATACAGATAATGGACATAGTGTGGAACTGTTCTGTTGAAGAAATGCTTTATCACAAAATGTTTTCCATTGCTTCTTTCCTCTTGTCTTGATCTTTATATAACTTGTTTGGTGTGTGAAACATGGCACATCTTCTACAACATCCCAATTAAGTCCACAAAAGATTTTTCTAAGGTAGTGACCAGAGCAGAGATGGTTAACTTTGTCCTGTGGGCTCCTCAGAACAGTAAGCTCTGAATGAATCAGAGTCCAAAGTTGGTCATGAGCTCTTCACATGAGGACTGTAAACTTTTCATACACTCTATCCAACCAAGGCAGCAGTGGAAATATGGATTACAGTGTATTTTTCTAGGATCCACTTACTCATTATTAAATGACTTAAAGGGGAGATACAGTTGTTTCTTCCAAGGAGCAACGTCTTTATAACTACAGGAATCTAACTTTTCAGAGATATTCCTTAGTACTCAGCCTAAGTATTCTGTTGTTCAATTTCATCTTCCTATCACTAATTACAAAAACCTTGTAGCTGAGGACATTGACTAACTTTATTGACTAAGTTGTATCCTCAGCTTTGAATGAGTAAATAAGTGGACCAAGAGCTGATCTCTGGCCCTAAGCTGAAGTGACAAAGCACAGCCCACAGCCATATGGCTAAACCATGCCCAAACTCTTGGGATTGGTTCCTGTCACCCTAATAAGGCATGGTCTGGGACAAAGCTAGTTGATCTATACCAAAACTATGTCCAGGACTCCTGTTTGTCCTTCTGGTACACCCAGCTGCCTCAGACTATCTTATACGCTCCCCTCCTTAATTCTGCTACATATCCCTCTGATCTCAAACCATTTTGATCCTAAAACAGAATCAAAATACAGATACTATGTTAAATCTGAACTTAAGCCATAAGAGAAGGCAAAGTCTGTGCTTCTACAAGCGTCACGGTAAGTGCTTAATACTGCACTTACTGAAGCAAACAAACAAACCTTTAAAAGGATGATCAAAAATGTTTAATAAGAGAAGGTTCCTAGAAAATGAGTTTTTAATCAGTCTAGCTATAGCAATTGCTAAATTCCTCTGTGGTACGTGAATCAATATGTTTTTGCCAGTCTGGGAAGCTCTTCCAGATGGCCTGTCAGGATGATGAAACCAAAGACGCCTGAAAGCTACAAATGTTCCTGCTTGTTTTAGCATGCTTTTCAGTTCCCACAGTTTCTTTTGATTTTTCCAGATCACTGAATTAAAAAAATAAATCAGTAGGATGCCCTCTGACCTCTCTGATTGTTTATGCCCTCTATTAAATGTTTTCAGGGCAACTCCTGCTGTTATCAATTCTAGCAAGAAATGCCAGAACTAGAGGAACATGTAAAAGAGTGCTAAAGAAGCCAGAAATGTGCACAGCAACATGAAAAAAGTGACAGATTCCAGTACTACATATTTCAGGAAGAGACTCCATTTTAATAAATACAAATTCCTGCTTTGAAGAGGAGAAAATAGGACAGAAACGAGTTATGTTAATAATAACACTGTTTCAGATTGCCAATCTATTTGATATTACCTTTTAATATAGTTAAGCACACAAGCTGGCATGAGGGAATGAACAGCGTAAAGGGTTTTGTCTATGATTAGTTTTTATTTATATAACTACTATATTAGCCTGTTAAGTAACAGATCCAATGGGAAGGGGAGAATGCTGTGTTGCTGCAGCCCCTATTGCTGACTCTTCATGAGGTTTTTCACTTTGCTTTGCAGGAACACATATTTCAGGAATACTACCTCAGCCCGTTACATGCAGAATGTACTCGTCCTGACTCTACCACCAGCTAATAACAACTTCAGCACAAGGATTGCTGACACCAGCCTGGTAACCATGCTGTTTTATATCTGATCATCACATTCAGCTCACACATGCTCCTGCACTAGGAAATGAAAACTGAAAACAGAGTGATAATCATCCTCTGTCATGCTTTTATGTCAACATTTTCTTACATTCATGCAAGATGACTTTTTGTTCTGCTGTAATTATGTAAAAACGCAGTGTCATAATGATATCATATTCCTGCTTTGTGAAGTTCAACTCAACCTTTTCTTTTGTTCTGCAAGTATCATGTCCATGGGACTGGGGGAGACTCATAGATCAAGGCTTTCTGACTCCACTTCTGGTTGACTGACAATCTTACGTTTTCAGTGTAGCTGCAAAACATCAATGAAGGAAGATCTATAGGTATAATAGGGATGCAAGCATGGAAACATAAGATTTCTGTGTGCAGATATGTGTAAGTGGTGGCAATCACAACCATTGCTGTTTCTGACCAGAGATGTTCCAGTTTTTGTAATTTTCAAGAAACAGTTGGGTTTTTTTTTTTCTTTTTGGTTTTTTTTTTTTTCCTTTTCTTTTCTGTAGGAAATGCATACATGTCTTCTTAAATTTCCTGGAAAGCTGAAACTGGGCAAACCCTGTATCTGCTTGCTGATACTGATACTCCTGCAGTCTGCCCAGGAACCAGACTCTACAAGAGAGTTCCTCCCAGGATTTTTGGCTTTGAGCTCCAGCTCTCCAGCTTTTGGCTGGCTTTACTGAGTTTCCAGATCCCTCAGCCTGGGTTCAATGTTTTTTGGGTGCCAGCTCTGTGGCAGGCAGCTGGGAATTTTGGCACAGCTTCTTGCCCTTGAGCTGTGGCCATCTGGAAGCCCAGACTTGTTGGCATCACACCAGATGATCTGCACTGAGAATCTAATCCAAAGCCAAGAGCTTAGTGTCCCACTGAGCACACCTGCTTAGAACCCACAATGTAGGATTTCTTGAATTCAGAATCAGCATGCCAATGCTTTACATGGGCCTCTTATACATTTTTCCCTACTTCCCTGTCTTAAGACACCAAAAACATATTGTTTACAACTTTATACTTCCAAGAGAGAACACCGATGTAGCATTTCCCATGTAATCACTCAGCATGCAGATGCTGGCCTTCCATGCTGGAAATTTTGCCTATCCAGATTACCAAAGTTACTGTAGCTTTAAAGCAGAAATGTGAACTCTCAAATTGCCTTTTTTTTTTTCCTCCTCTTCTAGCTGGAAGATGACTTTGTTATTGGCTATTATAATGCAGTCTTGCTGTTTGGACATATTCTGAAGAAATTTATCTTCTCCCAAAGCCCTGTGTTACCTCTCAGTTTCATCAATGAATTCCGAAATATCACTTTTGAAGGTAAAAATGTATGGTCCTGAGCAGGGCTCACTGAACTGAAGAAGGGAAAGAGATTTGTTTTAAAGTACTCTTAGGATAAGTCTCTTGTACATTAAAAAAAAAGTCCAAGCATTTCAGTGAGTTTTATTACTACTGTAATTTTTCTTTTACTTTTCTATCATTTTTATTGCACGTGTTATCTTCAGTATTAACAAAACATAGCAGTTGTGCAGAATCACCTCAGTGCCACTGCAATTAGCAACAGCCTGTTTGAGAAGCAGATTCCTTTCTGGGTCATGACCTTTTCAAAGAATCACAGGGTCATAGACTCATTAAGATTGAAGAAGGCCTCTTAGGTCATCTAGTCCAACCATCAGCCCAGTCCCACCATGCTCACTGACCATGTCCCTCAGTGCTGCATAAGCATCTTTGGTTATCCTTTGTTTGAAACAAGATTCTGGGTGAGATAAATTTGTGTTCAGATTCAAAATTCAGAAATAGTAGCAGCCCAACCTAATAAACATTTCTATAATCTGTAGAGAAGATCAGAATTGTATTTGAAGAATACTGCTGTCAAAAGAGGGATGGGAGGAGTGGAGAGAGAGCTTCCTGGGCAGCAGAGCTGGAGGACGGGGATGGGGCCCTGAAGCTGGTGCCATTACTTTGAAAAAGAGATGAACTCTCTGTAAGGAGACTTTTCAGAGAATGAAAAAGGTGCTAGAAGAGCAAAGAGTTTCAGAGTCTGCATGCAGTCTTCCTCTAGAGACAACCTGGCATTCGGGTTTCATTTTCAGTTCTCCATGGGTTGTTAAACTGTGGCAATGTCTTTTCTACGCTTTGTAGCAGAGACCTAGTTTTGGCTTGAGATAAATACTTATGAAATATGGTTAATGTTCAAAGCATCTTTGAAGTCCACTTAGCAAAGCTTTAATCAATTAGATTCAAACTGTTTTTAGTTTACAAAGGCATTGTAGACTTATGTGTCTCTGCTGAGAGCATAATCCAGCTGGCAACACAATGGGTCTTCCTAGTCAGTGTTCTTGTTCCTCTTACAGGTTGTCTAGTACCGGTGGACTTTTGTACTTAAAAATCACAGAAATTGATCATTAGGAAAAGATAGAGACAGCACATGCACAACAAAATCACAACAGTATCTATCTGAGCGCAAAGTCCCATCTGTCACTTCACATCAGAGATCTGTACCAAAGTGCCTACTCAAAGCTCTGTATTTATTGTCTCACCTACTGTCACAGAACACGGCTAGAAGTTTCCCAGAGTTTCCTGATGTGGCCTAACAGACTTTGTGCTTATCTTTGTTTTAACCATAGCATCCCAGCAAAAAAAAAAAAAAAAAAAAAAAAAAAAAAAAAAAAAAAAAAA